TGAAAGTTATTTGAATACTTGTTTTTGTGCATGCGACTCACTGGGAAAGACTTACGAAGATGCGAATATTGTTTCTAGTAATATAATTGTCCATAAGCTATTTAAACTAGCTGAATGCAAAGTGGGTGCAGGGCAAGAGGTGGTGGTATCAAATGTTAAAGTATCTGTAGAGGGTTATCTGGGGAAAAAATGAACAAAGAGAGCACTAAAAGATGGAGAAACTGATCATGTTTTAAAAACCGTTAATAAAATAACACATAACAGAAAACTCGCCTGAAAACCTATTTTGTTCTGATGCACTGTAAAAGTTCCGAGTTGCTGCAGACTATTATTGGATTGGGTTTGACGAAATTCATAGTCCTGTAAGCAGTTTGATAAATGCATCATTTACACAACTTGTAAAATATAACTGCTCTAAAAAATCTTCCCCATCAATAATCAATTTAACTGTTCTCTAAAATGAAACTGAAAATTTGTTTTCTCCGCAGAGAGTTATATGCCATTATAATACATACAATCAAGCTATGTTGACCTTCCACGCACTGTAGTGAAATCTTCATTATTATTTAGAATCGATGGGAACTAAGAATTTTGCTGACATCATGGGAGTACCTAGAAATCCTCTAGATTCCTCTACCTTAGTTTTTTTTTTTTTTTTTCAGTTTAGTTAAATTCTCATCGATTCTACATTAACGGTGTTGCAGGAAATTGTTTGTTGACCACAGATTCGCTCAGGCAAATTCGAAATCTTAAATTCAGATCTCTATGTCAGAAAAGAAATGAGTTCGCACTGATGATTTTTTTTTTATCCGTTATAGAATGTATATTAAGCCTTTCGTATTTCTAGCGCTTAGTCAATCTATTACCGGATAGTGAGCAAGTGTCCAGCGGTCAAAACTAGAAAGTATGCTATCTTTTTCCACTTTCACATTTATTCCTTTCAAGCCTATTATTCAAGGATACACACAGTTTTGTTTTTTATGATTGCTTGACATCATAAAAGTGAAAAAATGAACTTGAATTGTGGAAACATGGAAATTTTGGAAGAATTAAAACCAGAATTATTTATTCCAGGTTTATGAGGGTTATGGAACAGTAATGGAAGAGTTTTTTCACGGGATTCCTAACAAAGTAGAAATTTTAATGTTTAAAGACAAGCAACTCCCCCTTCAGCACTCCTAAGGAAGAAGTTTTATAATGCGGTCTTCCAGAAAACGAATCTGCACGTCGGTACTGCACAATAAACAACGTCAGTGCTCAGATCTTTTTGGCAAACGGCAAACTCATTTAATGTCGTCACATACGACGCATATGTGGAAGTGTTTGCATGTATCTACTGCATGTCTGTGTTTCTGTTTGTGTACGTTTGTGTGTATTTGTGTGTTCGTGTTTCACCGCTGAGTGATCGGTCTGTTGTCCTACTCGGTCATCAGTTTCTGACCGTGAGGCTGCGACGACTATCGTGTCCACCGTATGTGTTTAGACCGTGCTGCGCTGTCTTTCCACAATAGTTCGTCGTCGTTGCATTTGCTTCGTAAAGATTTAAAATTTAGTTTTCGTCCATATTCTTTTTGTAAATGTCATCCTAAAAGTTACTGTTAGGATTAAGTCATTTAAAGTAAGGTGGAAACTGCTCTCTCTTTCTGAATCCATAAGTTGGTGATATCCTGAAGTATAAATCTCCAGCTTAATGCTCAGTTTAAAACCCAAACCTGCTGTTTTGGTTAGGGGGAAGCTTTACTCGACAACTCCATTACTATACAGCGTAGTAATGGTGCTGATTATTGACGACAAATAATAAGACACATGATAATACGAAGACTGAAACAGGAAGCAACTATCACTGATGGCAAGTAGCAGGTCATATCCTCGGGTTAAATCGCTTGTGAAATCAATATACATATATGTATATATATATATGTTTAGGTAGGACACTTAAAATAGGCCGAGAGTTGTTAGTGCCGGATGCATTTGTCTTTTTCCCTGCTGCCTCTCAACCCTTAACAATCTATATTTGATGTTCCTTTACATTTCAAATGTAAAGGAACCACATGCTCTATCTCTCTGCATGTATACAGCAAATGAAACTGTTCCACTGAAATACAGTTAACAGCGAATCTTTCCCTCTGTATTTTATATTTATAAATAATTTGCCATTATTACACGTTGACGGCACCGCTGCTATTACATTTAGATAGTATTTTTTAAAATAGTGTGAAGTGTTTAACAGATCGATCTGAAACATTTTAAAAACAAGATTCACTGCAAAATGTAGAAGGGAAAATATTCACAGAAGTTATTATGATTAATTATTGTTACTACCATTATTATTATTAATAATTATGTCTTCGTAGCTTAAACTGGAATTAACCAGTGTTTGGTCGACCGGTTCGTCAGCAAAAGAAATTCAGCAATACAGTTTACTGACGATCACACAGCACTTTATTGATTTCGTGTTCTACAGCAGCGGCTTTTATATGGGTCAGTTGTGGAATTTTGTGTGAAATGTAAAAGGATTATGCGATTTTCATAATTGACTTCATATTAAAATGTAGTCTATTCTAAATAGTTTGTATGCTTTTATATCTTACTTTTTTTATTATGTTACATATTTTCCGCATTTCACCTAATTTCTTATTAACCGATTATCCTAAAAGTTATTAAAGTACCTTCTGGCAGCCCTGTATCTAGATACTGTCAGGCACTAAACCTTGAAGGCGAATTATATTTACTAAACTTCTTTATGGACAGATTTATAACTAAGAATAGACTTCAATACATATAATAATTTTTTTATAAGCTAGCTCCTGTACTCTCCCATACCACCCAGTTTTGGAGTTGATATTGAGCACTTTCGCTGACGATGTTTTGATGCTTACCAAGAAATACTAAGTTTTACTTGATTTGCATGTAAGAGCGAAAGCAGCATTGCACTTTAATAGGAATGAGTATCGTTCTTTTTTCTTTTCTTTTTTTTTTTGATTTTGACGCGTTATATTGCTCTATTTTCCTTCTCTCTAGTTGCGCAGTATATTTTCCATGAATTGTATTTTATTGGAGCGAGCGTTTATCAAACTGCGAAAGCTTACGTTATTAGAAAACCAAAGAATGAATGTTTTTTAATGAACTTTCTTGTAAAATAACTTTTAATACTCCTCTCTTCTTGTGTCTTTTTATGTCTTATATAGCAATATGTGGTTGTTCAGGTGAGGAATTATGTCGAGAAAAAAGATGAGTAAAGTCATACATTTTAGGCTTAACAAAAACTTTCGTCTGAACTTAAAATTCTTGGGAACTTTCTTGATTTCTTGATATATTAATCTTTATTAATGCTTTATTGGAACAATGTATTCGAGGAGGTTCGATAGAGAGTTGTATAACTATTGAGTAGGAACAATTATTTCTGAATGCAAGATTTTTTCAGGTTACAGTTTTGCGTCATTTGATGGTGAGAATGTACCAGATTTATTGAAGTGATTTTTGAAGTTAGCGTACCCTTGGTTTACAAAAGGCTCTACTGTTTACGGGAAGACATGAATGATTTAAACAACTGTAAGAAATATTCTGTGACATGTAATGCAAGCTTTCAAAAAAAGCCATATTCTATAGGTACAATGTGGAATTCATCGTAAATCGAAGTAGCACGGTTTCTGCAGCAGTGGAGCAGTGCTTTTTCATCGTCTACTTCTGGGTTTGGATTTTATTTGTCAACGATAAAATATAGTGCACTCACTCACTCATTATAAGAATTTATTTTCGTGCAATTTCTTCTAGTGATCCCATCGATAAAACTATTTATGACTTTGAAACAATAGTTCGGTATATATTTAACTTATTTACCTTAATTATTACTTTGCGGTTTAACAACGATGATTTAATTATAAACCGGTGAATTGTTAAGCAGCACAATATCTTCATTGGTAACAACAGCGTTCGAATTCGTCAGATTAAATGTTGCTTCCTTTTCTTTTCTTTACACTACTGTTGTTTGCGATTTTGCTGATAGTATCTTTGCGTTGCTCATGGTGTAAGAGCTACACCTGTAGTATCTCTTTCAAGGTACCACATATCTCTGAATGAATATTATTTCTTCAAATCAGTCATCCTGATACCATCATCAGCTCTCGAATACATACTGCCATAAAAAAAAAAAAACGGTAGTAAAACTTTTCCTTTTATTTACTGTGGAACACAGAAGCCTTCATTCACTTGTTAAACTTCTTGTATCAGCTCTAACATGTGAGTTTTGGTATGATAAAATTAATCGTGATTAATTCCATTTTTATCTGCTTTATTGATGCTCGCTTATTTTTTACATTCATTAACAAAAGCTTCAAGCAGGAAATATGAAACATTGCATTTTTCTAATACTTCAGAATTACTTCACATTTCTTTCATGTGCTGTATACCTCTTTAAGTTAGAGTTGTTTTTCCAGTTTGGGTTTAATACTCAAATTGGTTTACGGTCTTCGGGAAGCTATGCACACTTGTTCCCATTTCCCCATTCTTATTTCAAGCACATATCTTTCGCTGTTTTGGTGGACGTTCAATAATCACAATTCTTAACTAAGATATTTTCATAAATTCCTAACCAATTCTTGATATTTTTTTGCTTTGTAACAACCATTAAATTGGTCGAACATAGAAGGAGTTGGGGAAAGTAGAATAGGGAAGATAGTGAAGAGTTCACTGAATTTAGTAAATAATCTTTCAGCAGTGCTTGGAAAATAACTTGGTAATTTCTGCGGTGCTGATGTTGCAGCTGTGAGGTCCAGTGATGCTTGAATATAAAGATACTTCTTACGAACTGGAATTTGCTTCTACAGGAATAATTAGATGGAATTCATTATTTATTAATACGTTCTAGCTCTACCTCTTCTTCCTCTTATATCTCATTTGCTATATAGCACATGAATTTATCGAAATATATTTTGTTTACTGATAATGAGATGAGCTCTGTTTCGATGTTACGATATAGTTGTTCGTTTTCAGTAATTGCAATGCCATCACTTTTGGGATCACGTTCAGGCTCTACGGTAATGCACCAAATACCACGACAGGTTAAAAAAGTTTGTTTTTAAAAACTCTTTGGTCTTCCTAAAAACCTTATAAATTCTAAATTGTAGATTTAAGAGATGCAAATTTCATATCTGTAGTGTTTGTTCTAGTCTATTTGGCTGTGAATCATACATACTTAATACACACTTATAAGTCGTAAACTGTCTGTTAAGGGATAATTTCAGGTCTCAGTACCTATAGTACCCGACATTACTACTCAGAAGTACGAGATGAAGAATGTTATTAGACAGGGGACAGTGACAGAGGACTTTTACGAACTGGAACATTCTGTTATGTTGCAGCAAAGGAATGGCTTATTGGAATGCGGAAAATATAATAAAAGTAATCTTCATAGTTTTTCTATGTAAAAAAATTTTCCTCAAAGTAATTTTTCCTGGATTTTCCCTACTTAGCTAAAGTAATTTACTAGTCAGTTTTTCAGCATAAACTCCGACTTGCGATTCTAAAAAGAATTGTTTTTAATTTTATTCCCATCTTGATAATCGATCATCCTTTTTCCGTACAAGATTTGAAATGAATTTGCAACATAGGAGATGGACGAGCATTTGTTAGGAATGGGCGATGAACAGTTCTTCAAACTATTTTATTTTATTTCGTAGTAGCCGCAATTATTTCGAAACGATAAATAGTTTTTAGGCGTTCTCAACTTTCCAATTAATAAGGGACTTAGTTATATTTAGCTTTAGAAAAGCAAGTCAGGGCATTCTTTACCCATTGATATTAAATTGGATATGTTAGCAGTGAGACTAGACCAAGTTTCAATGGAGAAAAATTTGCTCTCAAACTTCCTACAGGTATACTTGAGCTTCTTTTTCAAGTTATCCTATCCTTTGGATTAACTCTCTTTCCTGTTACAGATTGTATTTCATTTTTATTATCTTTTAATATATTTTCATATATCTGGATGATGCAATAAAAGCTTCTCTCCTTTTGAATCGTAATCTTCTGTAACCTCTGAAATTAAAAAAAGAAAAAACAAAATTTTCTTTGTTGTTTTCGAAGATAAAAGAGTGGAAATTTGAATGATAACAGAATTCGATTATAGCATTTTTTTTTTTTTTTGGGAGTTCTGTGATTTTTTGCGTGAGCGAAATAGCAGTTACAGATACCAAATCACTGACAAATCATATACCGTGCACTAGCACGACAACACTGATGTTCCCTTCAAGCTTCTGTTTCGGCGACGATTCATATTCTGTGCATTCGATGCTCAGCAAAAGGAAAGGTTTATGGTGCTTTTTATCTTGCTTATTCTTGCATGCAAATGATCAAGAGGTTAAACGACAAAACGACTGGAGAATATTGTTTTTCCAAAAAAGTAGTTACCGAAATGGCATAAGTATTACTGCCAAAAATATAAAATTCTTAGTTAGAATTACACATTCACTCAGTTGCTTGAAGTTGCTGACAAATGAACGTTCAAGTAAACGGTCTTCCTCCTCTGCATTAGTCATTACAAATCTTCATTATTTACCATCTTCTTTTAGATCAATTTTCAGTTCCAGAATTTTACTGCATCTCTACTGACATTTTCATTTACTGTTTGGTCTTTAATTTATGCATCCAATACCTGTTTTGTCTTGGTCACCCTCCACCAACTTTATAATTTTGTCCATCGCTCATTCTAATTCGGTTACTGACATTGAGGAACAGGTTCTGCTTGCATATAAGATAGGAAAACATGGGAAATAAAGCCATCAGAGCTGTGTTGTAGTGATTCAAAGTTCAGCAAGGAATTATTAAGATAAGGCTTTTCATCAACGAGATCCCATTTTCCAGTGTTAAATTTAATGAATTAATATTACGGTCAAACTCTATTATAGTTTTAAGAAATCGTTGATTAGAAGAGTTTAGTTTCTTTCGTCTTGTTTTGAGACTTTTTTTTTTCTCTAAACACCATGTTGTTCCTTAATCTTTATTACGCGGCATAAGATGATTTGAAGCAACTTTGTTTCGTCAATTTTGATTCTGCAGTTGACTATAGGAGAATTATGATTTCTCAGTTTTTTCTTTGAATGTTAATTAGAACTTTAAATTGAGTTATATTGGCACTCATTTTTTTTATTGATATACACGCGATTTTAGAAATGTTATGTGAGCTTGAGTGGTAAGTTTTATTACATATCTGAAGTGAGAATTTCAATTCAATATAAGTTGTGAATTTAGTAATATTATTCAATATAAGTTATGCAAAAGAACGAAAGCTTTAATCAGTGGCACATGCAATCAATTGGAAACTGAGCTAACTCTCAATAAACATTTTTAATATAATTTTGTTGTGATGGTTCAAATTTTTGAAAAAATTTTTTATTGATTGCAAAAATGTGTGTTATGAATTTCTATACTGATATCGAAGGTTCTTCGGACTGATTTTTTTTCGCTGATATTTAATCGACCAGATGTTTGTGTGAAGTTCAGCTGCTCTATCTTATACTGGCTTGATTTTTGTTTCATTCCTTTCCTTTATTGATATTTTTCTGATTTTCCTCTCTATCGTATTCTTTATTTGAAAAATTATCTAACTTATTCAAACGTGAATCTCAAAATAACAGTGACTGATAATAGTGTTTAATCCCTTCGTTACTGGAGCATGTTGCTTCTTAATAATAAAAATTTTTCTTTGGTCTATCAACAAATACAATATTGCCTTAAGAGGACTGCGTTGAGTTGTATGCTGTACAGAAGTAATAGTGGGAAATCAATTTTAAGTTAAAGGCAACAGTGGTCAGTTTTCTAATTTTTATGCACTTGACTAAAACAAAATGTTGTGGAGGAAAGAGAGGTGAATAGAGAATTTAGCAAAAGAGAAGTTAGCGAAAGAGTTCACAGTAGTACATCATTGTACTACTGTGAACTCTTTTGAGTTGAGATAAGTTTGGAAGTTTTTGAACAAAAATATGATTCCTAGAGTCTTTGTGTTCTGATACTTAATACTGAAAACTTGTCCTTCTTGCAGACCACACTGATTCTATGACCACTGCAATTGCCATTTGATTATTTCCACGATCAGTTTTGACAATTACTTTCCCAGTTATTTTGTGTCTTAATATCACATAAATCATTCAGTAAAGTTGGTTAAAAGGATGTCGCGAAAACTTTCAGATTGTTCTATGAACGTGGAAAAACAATGCCAGGAGAATTTAATTAATCTATCACCATCCTCATTATTTTCTTTGAAACAACGATCCCTTTATGTTAATGGACGACATTCTAATGATTTGTCTTGTAATGGATGCCATCGGAATTCAGCCGATTCTAGTTCAAGTTATAGCAGTTCTGGTTTTGAAAGTATGAAGGTGCTTAGATTTTTCGGTTTACTATCATTTTCACAACATTCAAGTAATGACAATAATTTCTTCATTACTGCTGTTATGAAAATGTATTGGTTTTGTGATGTGTAAGATTTTTTCGAATTTAAGTTTTTGAACGTTATTGTTAAAGTCCTCAATATAAAGGGTTAGCTTTCGTAAAATATTTTTCAGAGTGATCAGAATTATTTGGCTAGGTAAAATATTAAAGCACAAGTAAACCACAACTTTATAAGCGGAAGTTCCGAAATTTACTTCTTGATTGAGACAGGAAATTTTAATATTTTCACAGAAATTGTTCGAAATAGGATCTTAGTGAATTGCAAGCAGTGAAATAAGATTAAGGCAAGAACACTTCAATTTTAAGTATCTCAACAGCAAAATCAAAATTTTTGCTTGTTTCAGTGTGGTTCTTCGCATGTTTGTTCAGCAATTGGTGCTCAAGACGCTATTGTTAGTAATTCTGCAGTTTTAAGAACTTCATCTACAAGTTTGTCTCTTTTGCAGATTTTCTTATCTGTAGCGACACTTTATTGACTTTGAGTTGTTTCAGTCGCAAATTTTTTTTGAGATCAATAAGCTATTAGTCACAAAGGACTAATAGTTTATTGATCTCAGAACATCAAACAAGATGAAACTATGGTGTCTTGAGTTTCGATTTTAATTGCAGTATATGGATCATCATCGGGCCTATTACTGAACAGTTCGCAATCACGTCTTTCGATACAGAGCAGTATTAGTGGTGATGCTTCTTTAGTCATAAATAATATGGCAAACATATTCGACCATTCAGCATCTGAACGTTTGCATGAAGATCATTTAAAGGATATTATTAGATTATCGCTTTCTGACATAATGATCGAAAGAATGTCGGTATGCTACACACATAACAATATATAAATACAGAAGTTTTTAGTGATATCAATATGACGGTAAAATTCGATTTGTGCTGAAGTGAACTTATTTGTTGTGATTAATTCAACCCCAACACTTTTATGTTCTGTATAATTCTCTGTTTTCTCGCTGGTTGTTTTTTAACACTTTCATTTTTGCAATAGTTTAATCACTATTTTTGTGACATGTCTTGGTAAAGTCTGGTGTTTCTTTCGCTTCATTTTTTTTTTCCTTTTTTGGTCCTTTTTCCGCTATTTTCTATACTTTGCGTAAAAGATTCATGCCATTTTTTGGAATCGAATTAGATTCAACTTATCACGTATGTTACAGGAAGCAGAAATTTTGGCATTGTGGCTGGGTGGTTTAGGATATCCAGAATATTTAACAGCATTCTTGACTCAAGGCTACGATCTCTCAACGATCGCACGGGTTACACCTGAAGATCTGACAGCACTGGGAATAACCCATCCAACTCATCGAAGATTTCTTATCTCTGAAATTCACAGGTGGCATATAACCGATACTTGGCCTACACTGGTACCATCAGGAGAGTTAAGGTTATTTCTATTGCTATTAGTTTTTCAATTGTTTGCTACAGTATTTAAATTATTTTCTTTTCAATAGTTCATTTTTAGTCTTTGATTTTTGATCAAATTTTTAATTGTTCCATTGTTTTATTGTTCGAACAAAACTAATATCTGTTGTTAATGTGTTAAAAAATGCTTTAGAGATTGGCTTCCATTAATTGGTCTTCCTGAATATGTTGCTTTATTCGAGGATCAAGGATATTGCAGAATTGATGAAGTTAAAAATTTTACATGGGAAGACTTCGAAGATATTGGTATCAAGAAGCTGGGACATTTAAAGCGTCTTGGTCTTGCTATTAAAAAAATGAAGGTTTATCTGTTATTGCGAACTTTGTTTAATATTTATTAGGCATATATCTCGGCACACATCGATTGTTTTGGAGCACGTTCAGAGCTGTATCAGCAGCGTTATTTTTGCGCTTTTTATGAAGTAGTTTCGTCGGACTTAGATGTTTCGACATTTTGTGGAAGGGTAACTAAAGTTTTCTAGTTGGCAAATATATCATTGGACAAACCGAAAAAAATTACCATCTATTAGTTAAAATCTGGACGTAGACTGCATGCTGCTAGTATTTTCATTATTCTAAATATTTTTATCTTTTATTCAGACAATCAAATCAAACTGGAATTGGAATTCTTGAGCTTCAAATTTCATTTTGTGATAGAAACCAAATTCTCAGTTTCATTTTAGAGAACAGTTAAATTGATTATTGATGGGGAAGATTTTTTAGAGCAGTTATATTTTACAAGTTGTGTAAATGATGCATTTATCAAACTGCTTACAGGACTATGAATTTCGTCAAACCCAATCCAATAATAGTCTGCAGCAACTCGGAACTTTTACAGTGCATCAGAACAAAATAGGTTTTCAGGCGAGTTTTCTGTTATGTGTTATTTTATTAACGGTTTTTAAAACATGATCAGTTTCTCCATCTTTTAGTGCTCTCTTTGTTCATTTTTTCCCCAGATAACCCTCTACAGATACTTTAACATTTGATACCACCACCTCTTGCCCTGCACCCACTTTGCATTCAGCTAGTTTAAATAGCTTATGGACAATTATATTACTAGAAACAATATTCGCATCTTCGTAAGTCTTTCCCAGTGAGTCGCATGCACAAAAACAAGTATTCAAATAACTTTCACTATAGGTAAAAATTTAGAAGATTGGCAATATTCGTTAATTTGGATATTGCTTTATTTAGATTTACCCACAATATCAGTTAAATGTAAAGAACGAGGCGGTTCCCTACCATTTGCAAGGATGTGGTGGACAGTTGCTGGAAGCTGGCTTGAATAAGCAAGAATCAGATTCATCGCAAATGAATCTATGTCGTATTTCTCGATTTCTTTCTGATGAAAGTTTCCAGAAGCATTCTGTCATCCAGCCTGTGCTCCCGGCTAAAATCCTAAGTACCACTGATAATTCCATCAGTTCTGATTCAGAAGATTATCCACCTCCTCCTGGTTATTTTTTAACAACTTTTTACTCTGACATTACTTATAAAAAACGTTTTCTCTGTGCATTCTCTCTATATACCTGAAACGTTTCGACATCATCCATCAACGGTTGGTGATAATGGACAGAAAAGCGCCTAAGTAGTATAATATGGGAGAATAAAATATAAATGGATATAGTTTAAACTTAATTTATTAATAGTACCAGAAACAAGAATAAGAGATTCGAAGTAGGAGAATACTTCCCAAAAAACCTAAGCCAATCAAGGAATCTATGACAGTTGTTGGTCCTGTGGGATGCAATTGTAGTGATTTTGAAAGTGGTTCGTTTCAGCACCCTTAGTATGTGAGGGGTCCGTCGAGCTTTTGAGATCGGCATTTAATGAAACAACAATGGCAGCAACAGCTGAATCAGGCACAACAAACGGTAGTAATTTTGAACAGTCCTGTCATGAGATTAATTCTTTCTCTTTAAACGAGCAACTATTATTTGCAAAAGATAACTGTGCTCCAGTAAAAAGTCGTGATAGCTTATTTATTGTTAGGATACAAATGTAATGAAGGATCGGCAAGTACCAGTTTTCAATGGCCGAAGACACCACGTCTCAGGTAAACTTATTTCACAAAGATTTTCACCAGAAGTTCAGTTTAATCAATCTAAAATATAAACAAGTAAAAAATTTTCAACCGCAACGGTGATTTTTTCCACTGTTTGTAACACAGTTTCGAACAGAAATTTTTTTGGGGAATACTGGGTTTTGCGGAAAACAATAAATAATATGTCTCAGCCTGTTAATTAAAAAGTAAAGTTATGGAATTAATGACTATTGGTACTAGTACTTTTCTACTTTGTTTGCATAATTGAAGTTACTCAACACCAACCAATAATGGTAGTTTATTGAACGATATTGGTTGTATGCTGCAAAACTTAACGGATGAGTTGGATGCCATGTTGTCACCTTCGCAGTCTCCCAGTAGGCAAATCTCTTTCTAACGGCATAACAAATGGTTGGACTTCTGATTCTGTTTATTTTTATTTTCCTGATTGTGAGGTTATTTTACAAATAATCCGGAATAAATTTCTAAATAAAAACTTGGGAAATATCCGCTTCGTTATGATCTATTGCCTTTGGTACTGAAGATATATCAAGCTCACAGGGCTGTTGATTGGAATAGTGTTACAGCTATTATTTCAACGATAAGTTATCTCTTTACGTATGAAACAGTGAATTCCGAAAATCCTGCAAAACCGTAACTCAAATTAGTTAAGATTTAAGCTAAACTAAGGAAATAACTTTAACTGTAGGTTATGCATGAAGCATTCCCAAATAGTTTACTGACAGATTGTTTAGCCAAAAAAAAATTTTTTGTAAATAACCAAGTTCTATGTTGGTTATATCTAGCTTAAACTTAGTTGGAAGTTTCCTGAATGCAAAGTTGTTAGGCTTATAGCATGAACAAAGTGGTTATGAAGCTTATTTTGATTGTTCCTGTCATTTTTCGTGCATCTTGCCTAATTGACTGCAAAATAATTCATGATCTATTGTATATACTTTTCATACATACAGCAAATAGCTCGTCATATAAGCAATCGTTTATCTGCTGCAAATACCGTCAATCAGTTTATGTTAACGATATAAGAAGTATTGGCTGTTTTTAATTTGTTTTCGTGTGGATACCACTGTAGACTCATTAAAACATATTTGTCGCATTATTGTACGTGTTACCTATGTCTATCTCGTTTTTCTAATGAATAGATTTTTTCATAAGGTTGATGTAGGTATCAGTCTTACATAAAGTAATATGGATTGCTATTTACGGAAAAGCTCGGCGTTTGTTGCCTGATGTTAAGAACGGTTGAGAAGCTAAATGAGTTATCTAGCGTAAGGGGCTATCTAGATTGTAAAGTTGAATGTTTTAAGTCACGTCAATGCCAAAAAAAATACGGTCGTGTTCAGGGAAAAGATTTGTTCATCTAGTGCTGGAATACATCCCATTATTTTCTAGTTCCACATTTTCTTTCTCACAGAAAAATGCAACTTAATGTTTTTGTGCCGATCGTTTTATGTTCCGAAATTCAATTATCGATTTGGGCGGTGCCTTAGATCCCGTTCATGACGTATTTCTCGAAGACGGGCAATTTTATTTCCTAAATTTGGGATGACGTCAAACAGTATCTAAGGATGAGTTGTAGTGCTTTCCTCGACAACGTCATGAATGACTGACGTCGAGGAAAGGAAAACACTGAAACTCCATCTTTAAATATTATTTATGTCATCCTAAACATTAATATGAGTATGAACAACACGATAATATAAATACATCCAGGCCCGAAATCATGCTGTTAAGTTTCCTGATGAAGAGATGATTTTGATCAGGAAGGAAACAAATGAGTAAATGCTAACGTTTTTTTCGATGAAACTGCAATAAATCAATATAGTACGTGTCCAGAACTTCCTGTTCTCGTTGGTGGTATTAGAGGAATTCGCAACAGCCTCCATCGTCCATAATGAATAGCTCAACAATTGCCCTATGCTTAAGTCTCTTCACTGTAGTAAATTCTCTTCATCTTCGATAAGATTTGAACGGCGAAGAATGTTTAACAAATCATACATTTTAGCGTAGAAGCAGAAAATACATGGAATCTTTCAGCATTAGTACAGTCTAGAACCTATGCAGCAACAATTCTGAGTCTCTATTTGCGTCTTGGAAAATAACATATAAGCTGTTAAAGACGGTGATAAGTGACTGCGTGAAAGAAAATTTATACAATATACGGTTGACAAGATGTGAGTGAACTGAGGAAAGTCACTAGTGTGTCAACAAATAATGATAAAGGATAACCAATACACGTATTACTACGGCTTACACTGCGTTATACGAAGCTAACAATTTAAGAAAAAAAAAAAAGCATAAAGATTTCATCGAAACAATTGAAAACCAGCGACAACGAAGTTCATAAAAGAGTACCACATATCAACAAACCGTATTAAGGACGTGGTGTTTGGGAAAAGAAAGCCAGCAACATAAAACAGATAAATGACCCGATTAAATGAATCGTAATGCTGATGACGATTCACGCACATATCCTATTATATATCTATATATCGTAACAGTCCTTTTAAATGTGTATTCAAAACTACTGCGACCTTCAAAATTATTTTTTTACCCATTCTACAAATAATACAACCAGTACTATTAGTCTTGATTGGTTGCATTAATTCAAACTCGATTTATTTCAGATATCGCTATTAAACAATAAACAAACTAGATGACCATTGATGCCTCCAATACAAATTAAGCATGACATCGTAAATGTACAATATGAACATAATTTTAGATTGCTTTACTATCAGTTCAGACACTATGGAATAATAAAAGTGAAGCACAGAAGCGCGTACCATACATCTGCAAAACTTCAACGAGACGAACCTGAATAAATATAGGCTTTATATTTTTACCGGAGCGTATATCCTTCCACTTAGTATGAGAATCCTTACTAGTTATTTAACACGAAACATGATAAACACTGGATATATATACACACATATAATGGAGAGCTTGCTTTTTTCTCTCCTCTCACCCTCTCCCACTTTTAAATTTGCATTGATTAGTCTTAATTAGGGAAAGTAAGCAAACGAATCAACAAATCAAAATTTGAAAAATGAAGCATAGTCACTTTTTTTTCCTGTAAATGTCCTCATTCATCTGATACAGCCTTAGCAGTTGTAAAACAAAAGTATTCTAACATTTCATGAAGATTATAAAAACACATATAAAACAAGAGTGACTACAGCAATAACCAGCTTAATTTAGATCACATAGGATAATCCCTTCTTCAAAAACACTATAAAATCGTATTAAAAAAGAACAAAACAGTTTAACGCTACTAAAACGTTTAAAAAAATGCACGCTTGCATGAAGTGATATTTAAACAGATGCACTACAACCAATAAAATGATATTCTCCTCCTCTTGCTTTCGAAGTTGTTGTCAACTAGGAATGACAGAAATAAGAACAAGTTTTAGGATGAGACATGAGAAAGTATGAAATAGCAACTTAGTAAGGATGGATTAAATATTAATTCAAAGGAAGGTCTTCTTAAGAAAACTAAGAAAAACTAAAGAAATTTGTAGCTCCGTGTTAAAACAGTGAGAATTTACTACTAATGGTTCAGGCACAGAAAGAACTACTGAAGTTTAGTTAGTGTATTATATGCTCAGATCTCGATAAATACACCATGTAAAAACCTAGGGCGCTAAAAGTTGTTACATGAAGACTAAAACTAAAAAATTACCTATCATGAAACATATGTAGGTAAAAGTATGACTTTATAGTGAAATGAAAAACAAGCGTAACACATATTTTTCGAAAAAGAAAGATGTAGATATGCGAAGAAGAAGGTCAAATGTATGGCATTAAATGATAGCGGGCACGTAAAGAAATCTGAAAAAACAGTACCATGTTCAGAGAACTTTCTCATTTGATTCTGTAAGGAACAACATATAGAATAGTTACAGCACTGGGTTGTGTTGATGTACAAAAGGAGAAAATCCAAAAATTTCAGATAAGTCCATAATAAATCACCAGATTTCGAGTCACTAGTGCCATATAGTTAAAAAAAAAGAAACTAACCCTAGTGTGGTTAAATTAAATGTAGTACAGCTTGTACCATAGCTTCTTTCGAGAAGTTCATATATGGTGTATCCGATGCGCAGTAGCATGACTAGAGAGATGTACTACACTAGATGATCACATAGTTTCAAAATTACCATAGTTTTGATTCAGTGCAATTCAAATTTCCACCTTTTTATAGCTGACCTAGTAACCTGTTCCTATATATACAACAGTAAAAAGTATTAAAAGTAAAACATGTAAAAAAAAATCATCTTTGAATTCTCGAATGAAATTTATCTTAATTTCATCTAACCTAAGATTTGTTCCAAAAATCTTTGCCAAGAGCTGTATTATACACAAACGTTAAACTTGAAAATAAAAACTAAAATTTAATATAAGCAAGCAATTCCCCGCAGCTGTGAATCACTGCTGACCGAGAGTGCCATTAGAAATGAATGTTGAATCTGATCGAAATGATCTTACGCACTGACCAAATAATTTTCACGCCGCTTTTGAAGCCTATCACTTCCATTTGCATTATACATAGTAATCATATTAAGGTCCGCTGATATGTATTGTATTGGTACCAATGATTCGTACTCGAACTGGCTAACATAAAATCAGTTTATATGATAAAAGTATTTGTGCCTTATTTATGTTAGCTTACCCGAATCTAATACATCTGAACATTAATAATCTTTCCCATTTCAGACTTAACAAACATTCTTTATTGAAATAATTACTTACAGCAATGTTCAGATGACGATGTACAAACAGACTGCTTTACGAACAAGTTGCTTTGTTTCTGAGAAAATGAGCAGTCTATAAAAAATAGTAAAGTGCTAAGTTTTAATAAATATTTTCATTTGATTTCATCATACTCACTGTTTCTGATTACAGAACATGCATAATAAAATACTCGACAAATTTTTGCGAAGCATCCCAAAGTTATTTTGACAAGAAAACAGCAAATACCTGCCGACGGTGTTGTGGGAGATTGCATACTTGCCATCATTTTTTGTCGCATTTCACGAATTTTAAGTGTTAAAGTTTGCTTGTTGGGGAAGAACTGTCGATATTTATTTTGGAAAGCCGAAATAGCTTGTCCTCAAATCACATCGAATAAATGTAGTAGCAATTTTTAATAAAAGTAATTATTAACAAAAACTAACCTGAAGGAAACATCCCGTATTCTTCAAGAAGTTCAACTACCAACTGTCGCCGATGATCAAGTAATTTGCGACTTGATGATTTTTCAGTTGAACTATCAAGAGGCGTTTTTGGTGTTCGCGGACTATAGAGCAATGGAGAAATACTATCATCCTAAACATGATCACTGACTTCAACTGAATTAACAATTTTGGACGTATTAAAATCATTGATAGCAATTGCCAAAAACTATCAATAATGATTATATTTACAGGCATCAATGCTTACGGGTATTTGGCAGATTTTTGGCCTTTACAAACAGGTAAGATACTAATAGCAGGAGAACTACTAAAATAAGGAAATCGTATGAGCAATAAAGTATGATTTGGATTGTAATCATGTGGAAAAACTATAGATATATCAGATGTAAAAAATGTTGTTACATGATTGTGAAGCGCTGATGGACTGAAATTCGACCCGAAAAAGAAAGAAGAGTCATATCGAGCAGATGCGATCGCTAAAAAAAAATTACTAATTTCAAAATATGGTTTTACAGTGTAATAGATAATATGTTTCCTTAATTTTAAGTCTTTCATATGATGACCACATTTTCATTTTGCTTTCTTTCATAATTATGTGTATTTACTATTCAAACAGAAGTTTTAAACATTTACTGAAGCAAACCTGTCTGCATTTTTACCAACCTGGAGTCTTTGGTTTTGATTGTACAGTGTGAGAAATGTTTAGAGGTGCCTCTTTTCTATCATAGTCACCTTTGCTACATTTCTGCTTTTCCAAAATTGTTCTCAAGAGAGCTGAAGGTGTTGAAGGAAGTGTTGCTGTGCCTGAAGAATAGTTTACAAATATTTAAACTATTCTAACTAATATTTCAAATAAAGAAGATACTCTTAGAGGAAAAAATACAAAAATCAAGAGCAGTACCTTTCTGCGGATCATCAGGAGTGAATGCCGGTAAGTTGGCAAATTTCTTCTCGAAGTCCACTTGATTTAAAACCCTAAAATGAGAAAATCGACCAGTTTCGAAAATTGCGCCAATAGCAAGTGGTAATGCAGTACAATCTGCTTATTTCCATCTGACTAACCTGTCCATGCTCTCATCGTTCCGTTTAAAAAGCTTTTTGATTGGACTTCCGTTACTCGATAATCTGTTTGATATTGTAGAAACATTAACAACGTCTATTGTTTCGTTCAATTCCTTATAATCTTTCTGAAAAAAGAACGACAAACCTCAATTCTCTCTAATGCTATCAAATAAAGATTTACAATTATTACCTCAGCTCTTGATTTCTGAACTGTCTCAGGCTTTTCCAATTCACTTTTTTCTGAAATCGTGAACATTTCTATAATATATAAACTATAACATCAATTTCATACATTCTTTTTCCATTTGAAAATTTTGAAAACATCTTCAAAAGCTAGATATCATTTTTGTTGCAGTGAATCTACAGGAGTTCAAAGAATATAAGACTACTATTATTTTAAGCAAGAAGAGAGATTTCCAAAGTGGAAGATACAAGATCTCAGCAGTATGACTGTCAAAGATTCGTACACCTGCTCTAGTTGATCCTCATTCTATAGAGTTTATAATAACAGTTACCATTCAAAATTATGAAAGAATATTGCTATCGAGTTCTATCAGTATTTGCATAATAAATCCACAAACTGTTTTATCACTCATAAAAAAATTTAAATATTTACAAAGACCTACCTGCAGACTCAATTTTCATACTTCGCAGCTGTCCTTTTGCCATACCTCTTTGAGCTGGGGTGGGCATTAACACAAAAGTATCCAGGTTTTCTTTTGTACAGGGGACTATAGTCAATGAACCATGTGGAATTGAAGAGGCGATCTCTGATGGTTGCGTGAATTCCACAGAAAAACTAAATCAAAGAAAAAAAGGAAAATATGTGTAAATTTTTGAAGTATAGTTTACGCAACAGCACATAGCTGAGAAATAATAACCTTTCCAAATGATTACCATCCAACGCTTTTTGTTCTACCTTTGTAGATTTCATAACCGTAACCTGTAGATAAATCAATGACAGTAAAAACGTAACTAACTTTAGTAGTTACTAATGCATTTGATATAGCGAATTTGTCTTTTACAAACTATAACTTAAGAAAACATTTCAAATTCTCTCCGCATTTAAAAAATTTTAGAAAAGAAAAATGAAGTCAGAATATCCTCATATGCAGTTGAAGCATGGCGTGATGACAAAAAAAAAAAAAACGATAAAAAAATTTCATTGGAAGAGATAAAAAATGGAAAATTTTGCTTTATCAACCAAACCTGGAAAGCTGAACTTCTTGAGCTCACCATATTGATGTTGCGATGATCGCTATCGAAAATATCATTACGAAAATGAGGAACAACTTGGTGTGCAAGTGATACCTAAAAGTTTTCATTAAAATATGCTACAGTGACAGCAAATCATGTAAGAAATGGATTTAAAGAAACCTGCTGATGAGTTTTCCTGGGAAAAGTGAATTCTGTCCCCGATGAGATCTGATTTCTGAAGGTACTGTCTGCATTTAAGTTAGCAACACGGCTTGCTTGCTCATTGTATGAAATCAAAACAGATCGATTTTGCATGCCTGATTCACGAGACAAAATTAATGGAATTAAAAGGCTGTTTTCAGATGACATCGACACCGGAAGTGGAAACAATTGTGCAGCTGATTCCACTGCAGTATTTCCATTTAAATGAAGCCGATCAGCTGTCGAAAAACCCATCTTAAAATGTATTCTCCAAGTAAGTACGAATGCTTTTTTGTTCATCGGATTAATGTGTATAGAAGGAAAAAAAAAGTATTTCTGTGATAATATATGCATACAAAAATTCGAACCAGAGAAAATATGATCATCAAAGATTTAGTATAATGAAGAAAGTTAAAGTAAATTTGACCCAGAAGTTAATTAACAGCAAATAGGTTATGTCTTTCAACTTTCACAATCTCGATAACATATTACCGACCAACATAAATATACATAAAAACATGATTTAAAAACACGGCTTATTCGCAAGTTTTCTACACCACTTATGAAAGAGGTACAAAACCTGTCCTTCAAGTTAGGGAATCCCACAATCAATTAAGAAATTAAGAAAAGTAATTGTTAAATTTTTAGAATAGAGAATCCATTATAAAGCTTGAGAAATTACTGTACCAGCGAATTGAAGGCTGTGTGAGCTTTGTTACAAAAGGTGTGCAGAGTATTGAACGTTCCATATGTATAATGACAATGGTGCTGCTTTTCAGCGGGAAGGATGGAATGTGATGCAAGATCCGGTATAGTTGTATTCCACGAAAATGACGAGGGATGAAGTGATGAAACAAGCGGTTGTAGTACACTGTTGCTGACATGATCCACATTGTCAGCCAGTATTTTGCTACCCTATAAGCGACTCACTGTAAGAAAATCGACTGAAATATTCTTATTCATTGTGCGCATAAAAATCTCTAGCAAAATGAGCTTTCTAATGAGGTATTCGGTTTGATTGTTTGAAATACATACACTATCAGTTCTCAAACCCATGATCGGCTGCAGCAGATCCAAACAATGTTTGTCGTTTCGTTGATCATTGCTTTAAAGAACACTGTGAATGTTAATGATTCATTTACTAGAACACACACACAAAAAAAAATAAATAAATAAATAAATGAAAAAATAAAGAATTCTTCTTAAAAAATAAAGCCAATTAATGGGAGTGCTTACCCTGAAGACATGAGTGATAGCGGAATGCAACCAGGACTAACCAGTGGTGATCCTGGAACCATATCTATTTCTGGCTTCAGTGATATCGGGTGATGAATTGTCTAAAACGCACCGAAATACGGTCATTTCAGACTTGTTAGAAGTGATCTGTAGAAAACATCAATTCTATTTTAAATCACAACCACAAGAATGCTGTTCTTTCGAGCTCTACGGATTCAGTTCATTCCAAAATTCTTACGCTCAGCATAGTCTTGTGGACAAAATTCTTCCACCCAAGTAGTACTCGTTGATTTCTTTTTTTGTGAAGGGAAGAATGACAGTGTGGCCCATGATGGTTTATAAAATTTATAGCCACACCTATTTACTAAAAGCTAACATGTGTGTTTGGACTGAACAGTGGAAGAGAATTCCCATCGATACATTCTGACGCCATCTGATCCGAAATATCGAGATCACTCATAGCATTATCTTAAAATTGAGTAATTGATTATATGGACCAAGAATCTCGAAACATTAAGAGACATAAATTTTAGAAGAATTACTTATTAAAAGAACTGTAACTTTTAGCAATCATTTCGACCAGATAGAAGAGCATCTCCATAGTGAAACGAAAAAGTAAAAAAAGAAGTCAAAAGCTTTGTTACTAGGCTATGTTCTTTCCATTTCATACTCTTATTTTCTAGGCTGTATTCTTTTTCTCTCTTTGTTTCGTGAAAATGTTTGTAAAAATTTATGACAGCAAATGCTTCTTTTCATCTTCTCACAAATCGTATTTTAAATATTAACAACAGCACTGCAGTGCTCTATAATATGTTACTGTGATTTCCAGTCTTAAATCCCACTGATTCTACTTAAATTGCACTGAAGAAATTTAGCAATACGTACGTATTTCTGCTTCCAATCTGATACCATTTGCTGTCTTCTTTCTCTCACGACTGCACCATTTCCAGTCTGGATGAGCACGGAAATGTGCTTCCTTAACCTAGAAATTGAAACATTCCGAGAATAAAAGACAGATTCCAAAGTGGCGAATTTCGATAGATCAAATGGTGCTAACCTGGGTGGCAAGATCATGATATTTCTGCTTTTCCTCGGGGCCTAGTGCGTACCACCACTCACCAAGAATTTTCGAAACTGTTCGATTGTCACGATTCGGATACTTTTCATGTACTAACGGTCGATGTCGTTTTGAAAAAATCATGAAAGCATTCATTGGCCGACGTATGTGCTGCCGAACCTGATAATTTTTTTACCATGTTAAGCAAAAAAAAAAAAAAACATATTCAAATTTAGCTACTGATGCAAATAAACTATGAACTCATCCGTATGAAAGATATAGCTATAAGATGTAAAGTCGATATAACGAAAATAAATGTCTTAGTGAACAGGAGAAACTCAATGTCTTTGTAGAAGCGTACAAAAAAAGCATACAGCTTTTTTGTTTGAAATATCTGGACAGAGCACTGTTTGCAATTTACGCTTTTTTGATAATTGATTCATCGACATTGATTCATCACTTGTATCAAATTCAAATGTTTCTTCATCAAACTCGAAGTTAAAATGATCTACAATTAATATTAAATATTACAAATAACCAAAATCGCAAAGAAGAGTTTTAAATTCATGTAATTTGAAATAGTATTTCTCTTTTTTTTTTTTTTTTAATTTATGTAATCTGAACTGATGCATTTGCTTTTATTATAATGCTTTTCAAAAAAAAAAAAATTCTTGAATATAAAACAGACAATAAAATAAAACCATAATTTACAAACCAAACAAAATAGTCTTCGAAGTCTCCGATCCATAATGCGCTATAAGCTGAGTACTTGTACTCCCGTCTCTCTTTTCGAATTCATAATCCCTAAAAAGTTTTGAATTCAGAAAATTGTACCCGCTTGTCACTTCTGGCCTTTTCTTACTTGTTGTAGCATTGGCTAACGCCATGTTGTTGAACATCTTCACTCTCCAATGTATTATTCTTAGTTCCTTCTTTTCTGTTTTTATCGTCGTCGATCATTTTACGATTTTGCACTTTATCAGTGCAATCAGTAACATTATCACATCTGTCACCTTCGGCACCGAACTGTTGGTTTGTACCACCCTGATCTCCATCGAGCATCTTTTCAGTACCACTAGTTTGTTGGTCATCACTGAATTCTTTTTGATCCTGAACAGTACTATATTCACATTACCAAATATGTCTTTGTATAATCATCAGCAGGAAAGCACTGAAATACAGCAGGCAAACCGTATCTTGCGCTGAATCATCAGGTGTTGATGCAAATTCCTTTAATGAGTTTTCGAATACTCGTTTCTGTAAATGTGGTACCAAATGATGCCATGGAATCGATAACGAGAATCTCTCACCTGCAAGTTGCTTCCAGTTTCTTACCATACAATTTTAAAGGGACAGAAAAAAGAGAATTCGTAAAATTACTATTGAAATCTGTGTATTTCATTTATGATACAGAAAACAAATCTAGAAATCTGTAGAGCCACAGATCATTGAGATCTTTTATAAAGAAAAATATTTTAAAGTAAAAAAACTGAGCCACGAGAAACGAGTGTTCGTCAGCAACAAATTCACTTTATGAATTAAGAGACAAAATTTTTATTGATTTGACAGACTACTCATAGGGGAAACTAGACCAGTAATTTTACTAAGATAGGATAGGTTAGTACCAGCAAGAAGAAGCAAGTGAAATCCATTATAAAACTGTTTGTAATCATATCAAATAAAACCATGAAAACTCTGAACAGCAAAATAATTCATAAATAAAACTTTAAGGAATAGCAGGATAAGAAGAGAAATGATGAAGAGAGCGGAAAGAAAGACGGAAGATGCAACCCTTACCTAACAAATATACAAATTAAATAAATGTGATAAATGAGAGAAAGAAAAGGTCGAAACTGAGAAAGAATAAAGGCGATATACAAGTGTGTTTATCAAATAAAACACCCGAAATGGCACTTTTGGTAAACTCAGCTTAATCGCTGCTAACCAGGCATGACGAATTTGAAAATTTTGCCAGTACACAAGCAGTTCTCAGCTAGTAGCATAACTACCTACCTTATTCTTTTAGATACAGCATCATTGCGTATTCAATGAAATTAATTTCTCTTGAAATTATTGACTCCATTTAGTATTTGACCTACTATTGATAAAATAATAGAAAATCCATCCTCTCCGTAATTTTCATAAACTTGACAGATCATTTTACTGTATAACAACAGTCAATACTATTAACTCCTTCATTGCCAAATGAAGCTTAAGTAAATCAAATTTGTAAAAAGTTATTTATTCTTTAACCGCCCTCCTCAGCCGTGTTCATTCCTTAAACCTCACTTCATTTAAAAAAAAGAAAAAACATATTTCTAACTTTCAAGAATAAAAATTAAATAGTAAAGGAAATTGCTTTTGAATGGAACTTTTCTACAAGAGTACTACGCTAAATGATTTATGTGTTTTCTGCTTAACCGAAAATTGTGCGACCAATTTACTTATTGGCATGCAACACTGCTACAGTGTAAAGGATCAATTAACAGACCTTCCTGATCAGTTTCTCCTTCTGAGTCATCCATGATATTATGCCTCGCAGTATTGTCACCGGAGAATGTTCCAATCGCACTTCCTACAAAAATCCAATGGACTAGTAAGACTCACATAAAAGATACAAGTTATTTATATGAAAAAGAAAAGAATGCAGACATATAGCCATAAATCATTCCAGGGAAAATTCTGAAGCTTAAAGAAACGTACCGCTTCTTTCGCTTCCATGAAAAAGTTGTTCATGAACACTATTGCTGCAGTCCTCCTCAAAATCGTCATTGTCTGTTATATTTTCATCATTGCAGCCGTCGCCCTTGCAAGACTGTGTTTTTTCGCTTGCGTCATCTACCTCCGTATCTGCATTTTATGAACAATCGAACAATTAGATTTCATCAACAAAACTTTTTTTTTTTTTCTGATGATTTCTGATATTAAAATTTCTTGCTGAACAGTGAAATTATTATTAGAAACAGTTGAATGCTTGCTTTACAAAACAGTTCGAAAATATTAGCATTACGTTTTCAACAAAGGGTCATTTCTATCGTCGATTTTGTTATGTAATAAATTTTCTTAATGTATAAAAAAATTCAGACAAAAGATGCAACCCGTGCCAGCAGTGCTTGCATCATCCAATATATCGTCACTCTCGGAAAACTTCTTGCTTGTTAAAAAATCTCCTATCGGAGATGTTAAGTCATCCGATTTTGAAGCTCCCAAATTGTTCGACACTTCTGATAACATACTGAACGAAGAGAACGGGTCGAAACGAGGAGCAAATTGCATCAGTAATGAATTATTTGCATTCGTACATATATTCAATTCCAACGCAGAATTCTTCAAAAATTTCAGTAATTCCTTCTCGTATCCATGATTTCTTATAACATTAAAGAGCACTTCATACTTGAATCTATTATTAAAATATGATTTTGATTTACTGAGAAAACTTTTTACAAAAATAACTCATGTATGGGGATGCAACCTTTTTCCTTGGGATTTGTATAGGCATAACAGGCAGTAAATCACATGGTTGTGGATAGGTTCGCTCGACGAGTCGATCTGTCACGGTCTTTAAATTCGGATGATACACACCATGATTAATAACTGACTTATCTATCTGAAACTGTTAAGATGACAAACGACTACGTAACTGACAAAAAAAAAACGCAAGAAGTTACTTGAACAGGACGATTCCTGACAAAATGAAAATAACGGCGAAATCTCACCTTGATCGCTTCAGTAAGGGTATCATCTACATTACACGAATGTGAGAAAGGTGGTGCACTGCCGGACATTAACTTTGGAGCTAAAGGATTTGGTGGAATAATATGGTGAAACCGTGCCGGTGCTGATGATGAAAATGGTTGTTCTACACTTGCAGATGGCATAAAACCTTGAAATATTTCATAACCAATTGCTGGAAGGTCCATTACGGATAAAATAATTTTATAATTTTTACTCCACGCATTAAAGATTTAATATTATCAATTCCTCAAACACAATCAGGAAATTCAATCAAATGTTAATTTATTGAATTTTATGTATACATTAATTTTATTTTGAAAAAACTGATTGCTACCGTGAGTGTTATGAAGATTCAAGAGAGTATTGGCAACATCAGTTTCGTCGAATCGACGACCTTGTGCTTCTACTGGACTCAACTCTGAGAATTCTCCATGTGACCATTCGATCGAACTACCACCTATATTCATATACCCTTTTCTCAATTAAAACGATTATATGAAAAGTTTTGTTTAAAAAAAAAAAAAAAAAAAAAACATTTTTCTTAAATTGATAAATATATTCAATCGTTACCTGGTGAAAGTGTAGTAGCAAGATTAAACTCTGATCGAATAGATTTCCCTTTCAGTGAAAGATGCCTTGAACAGTAGCCACGTCGTTGCGATTCCTAAAAGTGACTGAACATACAATTTTAGGAAATTTCTAAACTTTAAAAACAATTTGAAAAAAGAAAGTAAGTTCGATGAGGGAAGCAATATAACAACCAACAATAATATCAATTTCAAAATATCAGAAATACCTTGTTACAACCTTCTTTGCTGCATAGCCGTCTCCACTGCTTCCCATTGAACTTTTTACGAATTCCACCTGGTGTTGTTACGATTTCGCCTTTCTTGTATCTCTGCTGCTGCTAAAATCTCTTTTGCAATTATCTTCAGCATAGTTTGATTTATGCAAAATTCATATTTGTGAATATTTATCAACATAATTGACAGTCGTCCGATGCAAGTTGCTAACCTTACAACATATTTATAAAATCTGCCCTGTATGACTTATCTAAAATGCAATTTCCAAAAAATTCTCGACTTTAAAAACAATTTCAAAAAAGCCAAGTCAGATAAGGGAAGCAGTATAACAAACCAACAATAATGTCAGTGTTGTGAGGTCTCTAGAAGACTTGGGCAAATAGTGCACGAATAATTACTGATATGTAAACTTCGTAGTCTGTAGCTAGTGATTTCCGAAAGTTAACTGCAATCGGAAACATATTTAACTGTTTGATTTTAAAATTAAATTATAACTGCCACACAACGATGGATTTATCTCTCGCTCGTTTACTATTCATCGGTGGTCTTCATTATTAATCTTCCAATATCCTTGGTGAATGAAAAGTAATTCTTCCTTGATCACCTCTTGGAACAACATCCAAACGATGAGTCGATTCTGACAGATAAGAGGACGTCAATAATATAATAAATGCTAAACTCATGCTCATGCTAAACTAGAACGCCATTAAAAACAGCATTTACCTCTTCAGGACGTAACTATAACTGTGGATCAATATCAGGATAGTCATCGGTAGTCTTCGTTATTACAATATCTTCCGATGTCTGTGGTGGATGAAAAGAAAATCGAAAACTGAAGCTTACCCTAATCCTCAAAAACAGTAAAACAATTATTCTGGGAACAGGTCAAAGACATAAACTGTACAAGGGAATGCTTACGTGAAACATGAAAAGTAAATGCAGTACCATAAGTCCATAATGTAATCTGCAGTTCGGCTGAACAATACCAAAACTTTTGAAATCGGTTATGTTGAAGAATATATCCCAACTTAACGAATTCTATTCTAAGGAGTTTAATTAAGAACTCAAGTCAATGTTAGTATCAAGTTCTGTCATGATGGAAATTTTGAATGCGAACAGTGGACAAGAGGAAAGACCCAAATACAAAGCAAAAGGATTGAACAATAAAAAGTAGAATAAAGAGGTGATATACAACGCATTTTAAGAAATATTTTCGAAAGCAAGTATGACAGTTGCCGTCATGAGCATTCCTGCAGCAGGAAATAGAATACTACAGGGAAATACTGTCGACAAATAAAGTTCAAAAAAAAGAAACGAAATGCAATGCAGTTTAACCTTACCAACTGGCGATTAACAAGAGTGAAAGAATCATACATTTTATCGAGGAACCTTTTCATGCGCAAAAAGTTACATTTTGCATCCACGGTGATTGCAATTACGATCATCCTAGCAATAAAAACTAAAAAAAAAAAAAAAAAAAAATCGAGGAGTGAAAACGGGAATATTCCCTCCTCCCTAAATTGATTGAAAAGTAATTTGAGAGGATTTTAAGAAAAAGAAAGATTGAAAGCGTGAAAGCTAAGCTTAAAGAGATCTCCGATTGAGATTTCTCTCCTGCACTGATCAATTGTATATGAAATGTTATTACATAGACATAGGGAAATTCTTAGCGCTACTAATAGCATCAATATCGAGCGCATTAATAAGGTTCAACTGAGGTTTAATTAAGATTATTTTTAGTTAATGAAAAAAGTAGATCACAGTATTGTTGCAAAAAAAAAAGCAAAATTAACAGATTCCCAACATATTTATAAGCTACTGACGAATTTCATCACCAGTTATCTCAGCATGTAAACGATATATGGTAAAAGTGGAATACGACTGGACAGTAAAAAAAAATAGCATTATAGACAACATCTTCACTCGTAATCACTTGTTAAAATGAGGAAGGGAATTTCAGTTCCTTCTTTTATCTTTCTTATAGATTATAAGAAGCTGTTCAACGCAGTTGAAAAACCATCGTTATTCAGGCTCCAATAGAAACCTGACAGATAGTGATGTAAAATAACTTAAAGATTAATAAAGGCTGTTTGATGAAAGCGTATACTTTAATCCTTGAATTCGTTTACCAGTTGAGAAAGATATAAAGCAGAATGATTCTTACTCTCCAAGCCTTTATGTGTCTCCGTTTAAATGGTATTCTATAAAACGTATTACAGATATACAGATTAATAGCCGAAAGCTTGATTATCTAAGCATTACAGATGATTTGCAAGCGGACAAAGTCAGTCCAGAAGAACTCAATAGTTACGTTCACTTTCACCAAGAAGTATATATCACAGTCATAAGCTACAGATTTCAGGATAAAGAACTGCTATATGGTGCAAATTTTATAGCATTGTTAATGTTTTTAGAAGAAAAACGCGGAAGAATAACACAATTCCTCATTACTTCTCTAAAAAAGTTGGAAAACCTGGGAAAAAAAGCAAGCGGGAATCATTCAGAGCATCCACAAGAAGAAAACGATGTCAATCAGTTGACCTCCAAGATGTCACGCATAATAGTGGAAGGGACAGGTAGCATTAGAAGCAGACTGACCAAGAGTAATAGGTCTAACATAATATGGTGGCCTCAAAAATATTGAAAAAATGTTTAAGTCCCACGTAATACTGTTAGTTTATGTGCAACAACTAATAAATGACTAATGGAGCCGTGAACACAATCTTGCAAGCGAGATAATTACGATAACCATTTGCAAAAAAAATAAGAGAAATATCCGTAGTGACGTGAATGAAAACACTGAAAGCAGATCCTTCGGGATTTTCTTCGTCAGTACATCGTCAAGTATATATAACTTGACACAAGGGAAACGAATTCTAACCTGCGCAGCTGCAGCGCAAGCTGCTGAGACAGCTTGACTTGCTACACACTGTTGTACTTGCTGGACTTCATCAAAAGTTGTCGAACTGCTAGAAACCGCTTGGTTTGGTGCTAGGCCAAAAAACTGCGTTGACATTCGCTCCGCAGCAGTTGCTCCTACAGCAGACTTTGGCGTTGATTTACCCGAAAAATTGTTCGCGTCAGATGTACCGTCAATCTTAACAACAATTACTTTAACAACAACTGAAAACAATTATTTTAAAGTAGTTTTATTAAAAATAAACTAGCAAGTGTATGTTTTACTAGTTAACAAATTAGAGATGTTGATAGCCAGCAGGGCTTCTTGTTGACAAGCCGCCAGTACGCAATCCTAATTCCAACAGACATTGTGAAGTTTGAACTTTACAGTTGGAATAAATAATGCTATATCGTACATCTAACCTGATCATCTTTCATCGGCTCATCATCTGAATCTGCAGCATCACTATAGCTTGTTTTTTTTTGCAATGTTTGAGATTCAGTTTCTGTCGTACTAAAACAAGTGTTTTAAATCGAAAATGAGTAAGCAGCTCAGAATAACAAAAGTTAAAAAGTATTTTTTTAGTCCCAGAAAAATTTCCGAGTTAATATAGATTTTTGCTACCTAGAGGATCTTAATTTTTAAAGATAAATGCAATTTGCTTCTACATCAAAATGTGCGATAGCATCTTTCTTAATTGGAAATGAAAAAAGAAAAGACCTCAAACGGCTGGATGAGGTTGTTTGAATAACACTTGGTAAAGTTGGAGGTGAAAAATGCGTTACTGTACTTGTCAGTACTCCAGAAGAGCTGTTCGAATATATTCCACCGTTTTCATCACTGTAACATAATTAATTATGAAAAGCATAATTTTCCTTCATAAGTGAAATCTTCGTAACTACGGCAAAACCATGGCATTTTGTGAGTATGCACTATTTCACCTTCCTATCAACTGTTTATTAATCTCTTTTGAACGAACCGGCTTTTGACAGCCGTATTGTAATTGTTTATGGCACTTAGTTCATCATACCAAGGTGGACGTAACAACCGTATACTTGCACGGTGAAACCAAAAATCAGTTGAAATGCCGACATGTAAACGCATCTGCAGTATTTCACTTTTAACTGGAACATTTCAGAAATTAATCTAGTCATTGCAAAACTGCGACCTCACTTTAATACGCATTCATTGGTAAAAATAAAATATGTAATTAAAATTCGAAAGAAACCTGAAACATTATGGGCCAAGCAGTTTTTTTCAGTACTTCAGCTAGATGATATATGTTCTCATCATTCCTCCACTTCACGCAAACTATGTCCGCAACATTGATCTGAAATAATAGAGCAGTCTTTTGCATAGTGATACTACTTAATAAAAAAGAAGGATGAAAAATTTATTGAATTGCATTACTAATGAGAATTTCAATTTTTAGTGATGAGTTTTCTAACAAATACTCCGATTATTGTTTTGAAGACTATGTGAGGACTGGATTATTCGGAAACATTCGATAACAAAATAAAAAAATAAAAGGCAATCTCCTTTTTTCTCATTCAGATTGAAATTTGGTTAAACAAAGCGATGTGAATTTCCATAAGGAAGAATAGTACAATATTAGGCGCATATGCTTACTTGTATTACCTGCGAAAATGAATGCTTTTTCAAGACTCGGTTTTCATATGGAAGGCGATAAACATAGGAAAAATTATAGCTCATTCTCTATTATTAGCATTGTGATGAGTATTTTCTAGAATATTAACAAAATAATTCATTCACAGCATGCAGTGAATGCTCTACAAGATTTTCACCTTAAATGAAAGAGAGAAGTTACCGAATCAGGGCTTGGTGCTTGATCGGCGAGTATGTCAGGATATTCACGCAATGATGTTATCACGTCTTCGAATACATGTTCAGTACCATTATCAAACTATAAACTTAATTAGAAACTTCCCAAAACATGCTGACCCATGATTGAAGCATAAAACAACTCGACTTCTTCCTTCTGAACATCTGATTTTGTTTTTGATGCAACGTTTTCAAGAGATTTTTGGTATTAGACAAACCTGTACAGTAATGTCTTTATTTGCTCTGACACCTTTAATACATGCTGGCAGATATCCTTCAGTATCAGGTGGACGAGCCAGCACACGACTTGTTTTCCACACTTCCAAATTGATTGTTGTTTCATTCACTGATTCCACTAAAACAAGTCAAATGGAGCACAGGAGAAATTCTTATCCCAAACACCATGGACTCCTGAATTTATCCATGGAAACAAATCATTATGTTCATAAAAACTTGAAGTTAAAAAATAAATAAATTCTGAGATATAAAATTACTCAGATGTAATAAATAAACGAGAATTCAACAGCTGAACGCAGATTACTGCATTCCACTTTCAGTTCTCATCGATAATTTTAAAAGTCTATAGCTTATTACAGTATTACAACAGTGACATGTTTTACTAAATTTGCTTCATATCTACCACCCCGAAACAAATATCAAGTTCATTTGTACCTCAAAACTAATAGAGTTGAACAGAAGGGTGTAAGGATGAACAATGCCATGACCGCCCAAATATTAACTGGAAGCATGACTAATGAAAAGCGCATGCATATAACGAACGTTAAAATCCAAAAATTCAAAAACCATATAAATTCTGATGAAACTTCATGATTTCATGAAGAGAATGGTGAATTCAGAAAAGGTACCGGTAAAATTCGTCGGTATTTCAAGTCCTAGATTACGTTTTTTCAACTGTTCCATTAGTGCAAGAGTGTCAAACTGCAAATGGAGCTGATCACTGACTGACACAGATCATTTTACTAACAATGAGGCCAGTATGGTAAAGGTGATGGCAACTATATCGCAACTGTCTTAAATCACCTGTAGTGTCATTCCTTGAGGTGCTGCTGTTGTTGGTCTTGATGCATATGTATGCTGCTGTTGTTGTGGTTGCGATCCTGACGAAGACGAAGACACATGTAGCTGGACTAGCAGTGAACACGAACTGGGAGGTGAATCCAATGATCCTCCCGCTCCTAGTGAATATAAATTGTTTAAAACGCTGATAAAATTCTCTTTTCAAAGTTTGAGAGCTCAAAAGCATTTCATAACTATCACCAGAAATAGTTGAGGCAAGGAAATCAAAACCTTTATGAAGTTGTAACTTCAAAGCAAATTTGAATGAAATCCAAAACTATATATGAGGAGAATACAGTTGACCACAAACGTCCAAGCAAGATGGACAAAGTAAAGCTAATTAGAGGATGGATATACGATTCTCCTATTTTTTCAACGATGAATTATATTTGAATACGCAACGCAAAAGAAATAAAATAGAACACGTACCGATAGGATCATCGGTCGCTTTTCGTTTACCACGCAGCTTAGGATGTACGCTGGAGGAATCATCACGAATACTGTGTCCTTGTTCAGTGTTTCCATCCATTTTTCATTTATCTTTTAACCTTATTCTTCTTCAAACAAGAATACTTTACTGAGTTTTGAAATTAGAATAGTACACATTTGAACTCAAAATATCTTTTGACAGAGACAAACTTAAATAACTTTGATCAGCAAAATGTGCACCTTGGGTTTTCTTCAATCAGATTAGAAATGAGGATTTTATAAATGACTTATAGCTACCTCTCGCCAAGTCTTGTCATATTTCTCTTCATCCTCTCTTGAATCATTTCAATATTTCGAAAAAAACGGGAAATTTTTATTTCTCTCAGCCTAAAATATATCTACGTATTTCTAAGAACAAAACATTCTAGATACTTTTATTAAGACAATTCAAGCAAAGAATGATTGAATAAGCGTATGATTTATCACGACTTATAATTAGAAATGTTAAATTCATGTTTGTTAAAGAAATATTACAAACTTACAAATTCACCTATAATCGATCCTCTACAAATCAAATTTATCCAATAACGTTTACTGAATAGATGAGCAATCATGAAATTTCTTGTGGTTCTCTCAGCGAACTGGATATATACTCTCATCAGATTACCTGTAAATGCCACTAATTAAGTTTAAACTTATTAAGCAATTGGTACTACTGGTAAGAACCGTACTGGATTTAACACTTTAAAAATTGTATATTTTATCTCATTAAAAAATTGTTTCCTTTCATATTTTTCTAAACAGAACTCATACTTGTTATGACTGATGTAAGACATTTTACACCACTCACCTCACGAATCGCTTGCATTTCGACAATAGAATGCAGAAGTCTATTGATTAGGGACTAATCCACAAATACAGTAACGTGCGCCAGAGCATACATCGTCTACCAAGAAGTGATAGCAGGTAAAAACACTTTGGCTTATCTCCAAATCTAATAATCAGCAATAATCAAAACCCGGATACTTGCAAACTGTCAGTAAATATGTTTGAAATATGAGAAAATGGACGGTTCTTGTTGAAACAAAACATCCAAGAAAAGGAAATGATGAGAAATACCAGTTTTCAAAAAATTAGAACTGCTTTAATAAACCTACTTATATAAGCGCAGTTGCTCTTGGAACTTATTTTTGCTCATGACAAAATTTTTACTTTCATTTAATTAATTCGATGACTTAAGCTTTATAAATTGCAAACTCCTACTATATTTGTTAAACGTTTCGATCAAATGGCTTGCTGACAACAGTTTGGGAAAATAAACACTGCTAACTTATATTTTGATAAAGTAATAATAAGGTGTCCGATACTCGTTAGTGCATTACGTTCTAATAAGAAAAGCATGCAAGTTGATCGGAAAATTAGATAAGAGAGTATGTTGAAAATATAAGACTCTGAGCAGAAAGCAAAGGATTACTTAAATATCTACGGCGCCAAAAAAGTATTGTTGGAATATAAGCATGGTTCAGGTAAGCTAATAGCACGAGCTGCAGAAAACTATGAACGCATAAAAGATGTCTGACCTGAAATGCTACGGCAATTCTATATGTTTTATAACTGCAGTTACATGATGATGGGGGAAGATAATGAGTTATGTTGCTGTGACGAAATCGGAAAGGTGTCGGACGTCACAGAAGTGTGAAAATGACTCTTTGGGATTAGTACTTGAAAAATTGTTTCAGGAGTGAACAAAAAAAAATTGTTTTAGGAGTAAAACAAAATGATCGACCAATAAAAAGACATAAGTTGAAATATTCACGAGTTTAATCCATTAATCTTCAAAATAGCAACGATGTAGCATGAAAAACTAAAAAAGAGAACTTCTGAGCTAACAAGAAACCTCGCGTTTTAATTGTTTTGTAGCAAAACACAACTCCCGAAATTGTTACCAAGAATAACATGCTAGTGAGTGCCTTCACGATATATCAAAGCGGATTGAGTCATTGACTTGATGGATTATATCAATTATGTAGCGAATTATTCTGTCCCCTAGCATGAAGTCTCAGAAGAGAAAACCAGACATTGCAACTAGGATAACTCTCACTTTTTTAAATAACACATGGAATAGATAAAGTCAATGCACCGCCTTTTTATGGCCTCCAAGAATTACCTCGTTAGAGTTTTCAAATAAAATTGATAACTGATAAACAAAAGGCAAGTAGTAAGTGGATTAATGACAAAAGCGGATAGTACAGAAAGGGCATGATAAAATAAATGAGTGTGAATATCAATATCATCTATCAATGAACCAATTCAAGGTAACCTTAGTGTATTGTAGGTAAAAGAGCCGTGCAAGTTCCGTTTTTTCTTCTTTAAATACTTTTCAACCGCAATGGCGAACACGAATATCTCCACTGAAGCAAGAAATACACATACTCATATTAGATACATACATACAAACAAATGCACTTAATAAATACACGCAATGGCGAACACGAATAATAAACAAACAGCTGATTGTTTGGATGGAACTAGCTGTGGCGGTTTCTGACTGGCGCTGTGGTACAGTGTTCCTTTGGCAATATACAGAGACCTGAAGAAGTTTGTGTAGAATGAGAGTTCGTCTCATTGTGTATATGTGTAGGCATGTGGTGAGTGTATATATATATATATATATGTGTGTGTATGTGCAGAGTACATATCTATAAGAAAAACAAATGCTTTTACCCTAGCTATGGTGGATATGGCCTAGATAGTTTGTAGGTTCAGTGGTTGGCCATAATCACTTTTACATCAAAACTTTTCATTCCCAACACGATTCTTACTAAAGTAGGTGGAAGTTTTACAAGCATTATTTAAATATGGAATAGTTTTTCTCTAATGTGCACTTCGGTAAACTAAATAAGTCTTTCAGATTTCAATATCATTGGTAGAGAATGATGTTTTCTGATTCTCGTTATTCCTTTTTCATCTTTGTTTCATTTCTCGAAATTTCCCAACTTTCTTTTCTGTCATTTACCTCATACTTCCCTCACTATTCATTCTTCCGTCTTTGCACTTCAAAATTTGAATTGGAAACATGTTCAAAATCCATATCGGTTTATATGTGTGTTTTTCATGTTTCCCATGCGTTCACTAATGATGCATTTAAGTGAAAAGTGAATTTAAGTCTTTAAATGTTAATAAAGGTTTATATGGAATTCTTTAAACAAGCATAAAAAATTCTTATCATTTCTGTCCCATCAATCCATTTCCTTCTATTCATTTGAACTACCCATTTATCGTCGTCTGAATATCTTCATATTTACAATTCTTTATCAGTTTGTCTTAAGAAGAGAATTAATCTATCGCTTCCGATATGGTTAATCTTTCCAGCTTATTAGTAAATCTCATGGCTGTTTGATGAGTAACTTAACATTCAAATAAAAGTCCTATCTGGTGTGAATTAGTACATTATCTAGATAAACCGAGAAATGCCGGGAATGCTGACTCTGACGACTGGCTGTAAATGACAAACACTGCAGCAACCACTCGAACGGTCACCAACCGCAACTAGCAGTGGCTGCAACATTCCATTGGTTGCAACGTTCGAATGTGAAGAACTGCAGTTTTACAAGCAACTTTACAAGCTATTTTTCAACTTTATCACAGTACAATGACTTTCGCTTGAACTCGATATATCCCAATTTTGTTTATTTGCTTATCTATCCACATCATCTACAAGTGTACAAGTGTAAATGCGGGTTACAAACTTGTGAGTTATCGAGCTTTGTGGTAAGTTGCGTCCTTAAACTCCGAAATGGTAGGGAAGAATGGAAGTTTCCTCCAATTTTATTGCTAGATAAAGTGTCTCACTTCTGCTGCCTATTTCTTTCCTTTCTTTCAGATTGCTTCCAATGCTGAAGTCCAGTCTTTCGTAGGGACAGAAAAACATAAAACGTTTTACATTTAATAACAAAATGTTTGAAGTAGCAAGAAAAAAAAAAACATTTATCATCTGCCTGGTTTATCAAAAATTATAACATGTAACCATATATAAATTTTAGGAGCCTCGAGTCATTAATGAGATAACAAACAAATGAATGAAGAGGCGCCGTTTGTTTCTTTTTTTAAAACGATTACCTTTTTTCATTTCGGTTTAAATGAATTTTGTTCTTACCTTCTATCGGGACTGTCCTAGCACATAAGCGCGGAGAGTTGCACTATTATACGAACAATACCAATGCTCGGAAAAAAAATTTTAGTGGTAAAGACTGAATCCATAAACTTCAATACCATTCTTGATGTATTGTAAAAAAGATATATTAAGTGGTACTAAATTTGTGAAAATATAGCACCTTTGAACAACGTTTTAATTCCTTAATAGTTATTCCATAAGAAGTTTTTTACGGGATTTCATCTAATCTGACTAGTTATTAAGGAATTTAATGTATGAATGAGAAAATTAAGCGAAAGATCACTTTCAGTAGAATTTAAATATAGTTAAAATTTTGCGCAAAAGAAGAGTCCACATGGTAACTAATCAGTGAAATTTCTAACTTCAAGATATAGTGCAAGAAAATGAACCAAATCTAGTGCTATCTGTTGTCACTTAAATTAGCTTAACGTACAACGCTTATAAGGTGTAAAGGTGGTCAATAGTAGAATTAGCAACATCTGAAATACAGACCCTTCCCAGCCTTCCCAGAACAGCCATCTATTTATAAGCTTAAACAATTTCCACAAGTACTTTTATCTTTAGACCATCAGTTTTAGAAATAAGAAACAGTGATGAGGTGCAGTCATTATTTCATTACTACATTAAAGTCAATAGTTTTTGGAGACTTTGCTGCAGATCAGCATCATTCAATTTTTGTTTGATGCGCACTGGCATAACTTCAAGTTAATTTCGACCTGCGATCATTGGCCTTCTAATAACACTTATTTTTTATTGAACAAACTCACTCTTTTTTTCTAGTAGTTCACTCAATGCAAAAGTGACAATGACTAGTAATTCCGAATCATAGTTTACACAATTAAAAAGTTCAGAAAAAATTGTCATATTGGTTTACTAAGGATAGACAATTGAATTATTGATGAACTGACTGGTGCATGAAATGTTCT